AGAGAGGTTAAGTTGCTTACAAAATTACTCATCTCCTGCTTTGGCAAGCACTAACTTTGCAATTTAAAAAGTACCTACTTTTCTTAATATGAGGATAGAAGGCCCCGAAAAGATGAAATTATATAAAATACCATTTGTAGATGTAGAAGTGACCAGTCTAGCACTCACATTCGGAAGGCCTGGATGCTGACTGCGCCTTTCCGGTTGGGGCCCTGGCAGCTTGCTCTGGGTAGCAAACTGATCCTCTAGATAGAGTTCGACAAATGCTCCCACGGCCAGATTTCTGGTTCATAAAGTCAGGAACAAGCGCGAGGAACAGCTATGGGTGACTGAAGGCCGCAGATTTTTGAACCATGGATAGAGACCCGATGTAGGCCATGTAAGTAAACGTGGGATTAAAAAAAAAAAAATCAACAACAATAAAAAGGTTTTGAATGTGCAATGGCTAAAAAGTATTTCAAAAGCAAGCATAATGGATCCAAGGTTGTTCGGGCAGCGCTTGTCCCTGCTGCACTGAATGCCTTCACTGCAGCTCTGGACCTAAATGCACAGCTCATACATGTTGTCTGGTGTGTGTGATGCCAGCCAGTGCTTTCTAAAACACCGCGGCTCGGACTCAAGACTACTGAACGTGAAGATGTGCAGAATTTTCAGACTATGTAGATTTGTTTTGTTCTTTAAAGTAAAACTTAATTTTTTTTTTTTACAGTCAATCTTCCTCATGTAAACATCACATTGATATGTCTTTGATCGTAGCAGACTATTTGGAGGGACAGAGACGTGGCTCAGTGGATAAGAGCATTTGCTGCTTTGTAGAGAATGAAGGTTTGGTCTCAGCAACTACATAGTGTTACACAACTTCCAGATGATCTGGCACCTTCTTTTGGCTTCCAAAAGTACCAGGTATTCATGTGTACACTCAAGAACACACTTATATACATAAAAGTGAAACAAGAAAACCCTTTTAAAAGTTTGAGTTGCTGACTTGAGTTTCATTTTAAAAAATTATTAAATGAATTTGGGCTTGGGATTAGGACAAAATTTTCAAGAATTCTGAAATGGCCTTAAAAACAAGTTTCTACTTAGCACTACATATTTATGTCAAATGACATTCTCTGCATTCACAATCAAAAATCAAAGTATCAGTCAATTCTGAAAAACATTGAAGGTGCTAGGTTCTGTAGTATCAAATATTTAGATAAGACTTAGTTCTTTATTTTTAAATAACCAAGCATGTCTACATTAGCATGTAAATTTGTTTTCATCTTCAATAATTGGTAAAATTATGTGTACCCAAGAGAATTGTTTCAAAGTAAATTTCTTTATGATCTGTCAGTATGTGTTTGCTTTTGTATGCCCATTTTGCAGATCTATATATCTCAGATAATATAGATCTATATTTATTGGATACAAAGGGGCCAACATTGGTAAAAGTTTAAGAAATCCCGTTCTAGCAGGGCGGTGGTGGCGCACGCCTTTAATCCCAGCACTCGGGAGGCAGAGGCAGGCGAATCTCTGGGAGTTCCAGGCCAGCCTGGTCTACAAGAGCTAGTTCTGGGTCAGGCACCAAAGCTACAGAGAAACCCTGTCTCGAAAAACCAAAAAAAAAAAAAAAAAATTCTGTTCTAGGCTGTTGCCTATACCTATAAATATTTATCTTAAACTTCATGATAAAATTACTTCCTTTTGTCCTAGATGTGGTAATTCATGCCTATAATCTCAGCACTTGGAGGGTAAAGATAGGAGGGAGAGGCCAGACTGGGCCACATAAATGAGAGCCTGCCTCAGAAAACCCTAAAATAAACAAAGAAATCTCTATAGAAAAGAGGTGAATTCAGATATGCAGGCTGCTAGTTGGTTCAAGGTGCAAACTACGATTCTGGGGTGATGCTGAGACAGACCCCTCTGGTCCCTCCTGGACTGCATTCATTCCCGCTGGGCTCTGGCATCTAGGCTGTGTACCATCTTCTCCACCTCTGTGCTGTGTGCGCTGCATGACCTTAGGCCGAGGAGCAAGAGGAAGAACAGAAGAGATGGAAGTGATACATTCTGCCTCCTGGCTGATGCTACTGTGACTTCTGAGACTGTTGACCTCTGGGCCAAAGGAAGAGAATGACAGGGGCGATCGTGCAATGTCCCCACTTCCAATTCAGACAACGAAAAGGTTAAGGATCATATCTCATAAATCTCAACATGTGTATTTCATTTAACCCTCATGCTATTTTGGAGTTAGGTTGAATATCACAAATTAGAATGTTTGCTAAATGATACCTTTCTCCTTGGGATCTTAAACTGTGTAAGAGGAGAGGGAAGAGCTGTGGGGGAGGGGAATGGACACATTGTCAGTCACTGGGAAGAATGAAAATGTTTGTCAGAAATTCTCTGTCATACAGCAGAGATTCAGAAGGAGCCATGGGAGGAGACGGATTATCGTATTCATTGGCCACGTAGAGCGTTAGCATAGGAACCACGTGGCAGCAGTTGTCAGAAAAACGCTCTGCTCCACGGTGGTTCCTGGCTTCTCTTCCAGGGTTTCTCAGTAAGACATTTAAAATAAACTCCTTTGATTTGACTTCTAATAGTTGCCTTCCTCTGCTGATAGGAAGTGGGTGACAAGATGAGAAAAGACACCAGTGTTCAAAAGTCCTGGTTAGAAATAAAACTCTTTCTAAAGGGTTCCTCCCAGACCAGTTCATTTTGTATCCACATAATTCCACAGAAGATTTTCTTTCAGAAAACACTGGGAGTTTATTAAATCTTTATTTACGTTAAATTTGTTGCAGTCTCTAAACCAGCAGCTGAGCTGCTTTGCCTAAAGGCATCAAATAGAAAGCATCTACTAGTTGGCTGTCAGAAGGATTTTATGAGTTTTCTTATGCAGTGTGCTTAATAAGACTACTGTGGAACACGCATGCTTCTTTCTTTCTTTTCTTTTTCTTTTTTTTTCTTTTTTCTTTTTTTTGGTTTTTCGAGACAGGGTTTCTCTGTAGCTTTGGTGCCTGTCCTGGACTAGCTCTTTAGCTCTTATAGACCAGGCTGGCCTTGAACTCCCAGAGATCCGCCTGCCTCTGCCTCCCGAGTGCTGGGATTAAAGACGTGCGCCACCACCACCCAGCCACACGCATGCTTCTTATATTTAGATATTGCATATATAGCTCATTACTCAGAACTCATTTCTATTTTGTGCCATTTTTAGCGAAGTAAAAATTCTTCTTCCTTAACCCCAGGTACATCTAATGTGTTTTTCTCCAAGGAAAAGGAACCCAAGAGCCTGATGATACAGCCCGGTTCACACACCTAAGGAAGTGTACTCGCTTGTAGAAGAAGATAAAAAGCCAGGCACCTGAAAAATCTGAAACAGATTTAAAAATAAAACCAATGACCCCTACAAGCACTTGTTCTGTTGAGAATCTGGTGCAAACCATACTGACCACGATGGTGACGCAGCCAAGATGAGGTGGGGCTCGCATCCTGGAATGGTGAGCTCCATCCCGTAACTGGAGGAAGCAAAGCTTCCTCCACCAGAGAATCCCTGTGGGAGGACAGAGGGTGCAGCTCCCTGCCCAGTGTGTGGTGGGAGCAGGCCACGCATGCGTCCTCAGAAGCTTCACACAAAGGCTGTCCTGCTTCCCCAAGGTGTACAGACACACTCAGGTCTTGGGAAACCATCTTAAAGCAATTTTCTATGCATCTTTGCTAATGAATACTGGTCACCCCAGGCCCTCCTACATTGATTCTTTTGTCTGTGTGCCTCATTACAGGATAGAGCATTACAAATCATTGATGAACCTATAGTTTTTTTTTAAGTTATGACCGCAAGATAGTAACTGCTATCTGGAAGGGTTTGTACACTGTATGTTATTATAATTTCTGGTCACAAAACTTCAAAGAGAGTTGAGAAGAGAGTGGACGTGTGGATCAACGCAGCGAGCTCTTCCAAATCCTCAGGGTACTTCCTTCAGCCACAGTTGGCTCTACTCCAGGTGAAAATGTTAGTGGCTTAAAATTCTGTCTCTCGAGAAAGTGACATTCCTGCTTAGGGACTCACCTCTCGAAATGTAGGAAGCCACAAACGTTCCTTGTATTTAAACCCTGAGATTTATTCTAAAAATTGGGCACCATTTTCAAACGCGAAAGTGTGCAGTACAATGGCCACAAAGGAGCCTTTCTTTCTCACGTCATCCTCATCTGGCCAAGGATATTTCAGAGATAAGTAAAGGCCAATCCCCAGCTCTGGGCAGAGAGTGTCATGGGCTTTACAGAGTTATTGGCCCCACCTGCCAAAAGCTAATTGTGCGTCGTGGGGAGGAAGCATTTGAAATACTAAGTCATTTTACCACAAAATGTGGAGTGGCTGTCTGAGCAGAGGTTTGGTTTATTTTTATTATTATATTATATTATATTATTATTATTTTAACCCAGGATTAGGGTTTGCATGCACCTTAGCAACATCCTTTCTTCATTCCCAATGTTTTTTTCTCTTCCAGTTTAGTGTTCGTCTATGTGTGCTCAAGGAAGCTGATAACACTGATAGCTCATGGGGAAGCAGGGAGAGGAACATAGCGGGCCGTGGTTGGCCATACATTGTGCCACCCCCAAGGCACTCTGTTAAGATGCTCACACAACTTTTGGATCTCCGCACCCTCCAATATCTCAGGATTCCCAAGAGTCACAGGAGGTGTCAAATAGGAAGGAAGGGAGAGAGGGACAGACAGAGTATTTAGTTGCGTCTACAGGATGCTTCAGGATAGTCACAGAGTCCTGGAAGAATTTCAGTCAGGCTCCTGCCTGGGTCACACTGAGATCATTTCTTTAGGTGATGGGCCCTGTACCCATCAATCTCATACTGTATTAAAACAAGCAAACAAATCAACAAACAAAAACAGTTGACCCCAGCTGAAAGACAACTTGATTCATCCTGTAAAAGCATGGGACATCAAGGCCAGTTCAGGTTGAGATGGTTAAGCGAAGAGACAAATGACCAAACAGTCACCAGTTACCTCGCCGCCACAGCCGGAGATGACTGGAAGTGCAGAAGCTGCTGGAGGCTCACTCAGCTGATTGCCACCTTCCTGCCGTGCCCGGGAGAAGGAAGCGCCGCCCTGAGCAAGCTGATCCTCTCAAGGTGCCTGGGCTTCTGCCACAGCTCTGAGACCTGCATGTGTGAAGTCTTCTCTATTTCTCTGTGAGTCACACCCATTGCAACACCGAGTGATGACTAAGCCTCTCCTCAGTGGACGGAGGGCGGAGAGACTGCGGGTCATAGGTTTCCAAAGGAATCGTCAGGGTCTTTTATAAACGAGATGTCACTAGCTAGAGAAATGACTTACATTCTCTTGATCAAAAGAGGCACCTGAAACCATAAATAAAGAAGCACCTTACAAACGGCCAGGTGCATCAAATGGATCAACTCCCCCCCCCCCCTCCTTTTTTAAACATTTATCAGCAAGAAGATTAACATGACCAATGTCAAGGAAGCATGGTTTGGGAATAACTTGTGGTTTCTAATTTGTGTTTTAAGGTATGACAAGATATCTTGATAGGGTTTCTGGAAGTGAAAGTAGGAAGGACTTGCCCCTCCCACCCCTAGTTGGCCTTTTCAAATGCTTCTGCCAGCAGGCTTGGCACTCTCTGGTGCCAGCTGGAGCTGTAAGGGGTGGAGGATGAGATGCCGCCCACCTTCCGGCCAGCTTGCCAAACCTCCCTGCACGCCTTTGTACAGGCAGGCAAAGGCGCCCTGACGGACGTTTTACTTCTAATTTCATGCTGCAATTCCTCCGGCTCCCTCAGCTCTCTGTTGCTTCTTGAAAAGCAGGGACTGTTTACTAGTGAATGAAAGAGCCATCCCTCGAATGGAGTCTAGACACGGCTTTGCCTTTGGCTTTAAATGAGTGGGGTTCCTATTTCATCCACAACACTAAAAATTTATCCAGATAAATATTTGGGGTACCCAACCATATGCCAGGTATACTTCTTCCTCTTTAATGGCTGCACAAGACAGAGTAAAGGCACAAACATGTAGCCTCAGAGAAAAGCATCCTCGACTTAAATCCATCTGAAGAAAGCTGTGATAATTAATCCTCCTTACAAGCAGGCTATTACAGCTGAAGGTAGAGAGCCCTCGAGCACCGGGGTAGTCCTGGAGGACTGGAGGGAAAGGGCAAAGGAAAGGTTACACCACGGTAAGTTTTACTCAATAATCTTGCTCAGTGCAGCTCTGGTTTAAAAAAATTCCCCAAATAGGCTTAAAAGGAAAAATTAAATGTCAAAATCAATTTGCATACCGCGGTGGAGAATTCGTGCCCTCCACTTGGCACGGCTGTCAGTACTGATGGATTAAATTGAGAAGTTCTGTGTCAGTGCCCTGGGGCGGGGGTGGGGTCAGAACAGCCCACAGGCTTGCCTGGTGGATAAAGGTATCCGTCCGTGGAAACGAAACATTTATGAGCTGCCACTGTCTCCAGACTGAAATCACGGCCACATCCAAAGCCGCATGCTGAGTTCTGCTTGATTTTCACCCCGTCCCTTTAGACTGTAACGTTCACGTGAGGTCCAGAGGGTAAAAGACACGTCCAACACGACAACCTGAAGGCCCACACGGAAGACGGGAATTGTTGTCCTCTGGCCGCATGTGAACTATGGTGTGTGTGCACTTGGGGACATACACGTACCTCCACACACTAAATAAAGGCAGAAATAAATAAACAGTTTAATCTTCCAGAGTAAAAGAATGCAACCTTTGAAAACACTGCTTTGTTCAGAATTCTCCCCTACATCAGACTTCTGGTCATCAAAGATGACATACATGCATCCCACCAAAGTAACATTTGATTTTACTTCGATTTCCTTGGCTTAAAAGGTTAGCGTGTGGAACTTACTCAAATATAAATTTTATGTTGCTGTCTGGGTTGTAGGGTTGTAGCTACACGGAGTGAGCTCAGATGACTGTACAGACAGCACACTAAACACCCAGCTCCTCCTCTTCTTCTGATCTGTATGTCCTCCACATAGCTGCCCAAGACTGTCTCCAATTGTCCTTTTCCAATACACCAGGAGACAATCTGGGTCCCCAGCGTTCCCAACCAACATCTGTCAGACTTCTCGGACCTGTGCCGGCATGAGGGAATCTCTGGTCTGACCAGAGAGAATCATCCTGTAGAAAAACTCCCTCTGTCCTCCACAGAAGGCTGTGATGGTTCTCCCCTACCCCCGTAGAAGTCTGTGGTGTTCCCAGTTCAGAGTATGCCTGGTTATGGCTCACTAAGCTGGCTATAGGGCAACACCAGCTGGTGACGTGTGTTCCGCCCTCCTCCTCCCTGGTGGGGGTCAGGCAGCACTCTGCGCAAGGCAAGGCCACTCTCAGATCTCTGACTAGCTCCGAATGGCTTTATGACTTCCAGCATGCAAGACCAGACCTTGTATTTCCTTCCTCCTCCCTTTGTCAACAGATGGCCCTCTTATTTTCTCCACAAAGGGCACCTGTCCTTTGGTCCCCCTTTATACGCCAACAGTACCTTGGTTTATGAGGAACCTGAGAGCCAAGGCTGGACCCAAACTAGGAACCTTGTTGTGTCTTTGTTTTTTCCCTGACTGCTCCCAGTTGTAAAAGGAAGCTGGGCTAATTCTTTGTTCCCCTGTGTGGGTCACTGCAACTGTTGCAACATTCAGTAAATTCTTTTTTTTTTTTTTTTTGCTTTGGATAAGTTCACTTTCATTATTTTCAGAATTTTGATCTATAGGTAGTCCTTGATATTTTGGTTTAATGTCTCTCACTTTTCACCAAGATTTCACTGTATCAGTTAGGTTGTGAATGTTTAAAGTGTAATATGTGCGTACCTGTAGATCATTACATCTGTCACGACTCCCTCCCAAGCACTCTTTATCAAGTTAATGCTCTCTATTATATAAATGTACATATTATTAACACATGTAATATTATATTAGTGTATTGTGCGTGCATGTGTAAAATCTGCTATGTTTGTTTAGTGTGGCATGTCTGTATATGTTTTTAGGGCTGACCGCTTGGTATTCAATAACCAAGAGGTCTCATCCCTGGTGAAGATTAGTTCTCCCCCGTCATAGCATAGACAATCAGTAAATTCTTGGAAGACAGATTTTTTTTCATTTTTGCAGAGCACACATGCGTTTAGCTACACACAAGAGGTCTGGCTTGAACAAATGGGGTGAGGACGGTTACATAGGGCAACCATTGTCTAGGGCAAAGAGGTGATAGTAGAGGTAATGAATGATCAGAGAGAGTAGGGCTTCCTGGTGATAGGGAGACTTGTGAGAAACAAGAACAGAGGCTTAACAAGGAAAATGTGACCCTTAAGGGGAGAGGGAGAGGGAGGGCGCTCCTTCCAGTGTGACCACTGCAATAAGAGAGCACTCCAGAAGCATCATGCCATCCACTGACCTGAAGAAGATCCCCAGGGGTCCATCCTACCCCGAGAAGGAAGGAGTGGTTTCATCTTAGGGAGCATGAGGTCATGCCAGCTTTATCGAGCTGTCCTGGTTTTATTGGCCTTAGACATGTATTTGCCCAATTATAGTATTGTCCAACTACTACTTCTCACCTAACCCAGCATAAAAAACACACAAGGTTCCCTGCTTACTTGAGGGTCTACCATTCTGGAAGCTTCCATGTCACATAAAACCTACATTAACCTTCTTTAAAAATAAATAGGGACATCAGAATTCCAGCTATGTGCAAAGAAAGAGCATTAATCCTGGAATACCAATGTTGTCAATAAAACCAGGAGATATTTATTTATTCATATTTATGAGTGACCTGTCTTCAGGCACACCAGAAGAAGGAATCAGACCCCATCACAGATGGTTGTGAGCCACCATGTGGTTGCTGGGAATTGAACTCAGGACCTCTGAGAGAGCAGCCATTGCTCTCAACCGTGGAGCCATCTCTCCAGCACAGATGGCATTGCTCACAGACATTCTATTGGTGGGTTGTAGATAAGAGGCAAGGATCCACAGTGAAGGAGATCTGGTCTGGTTTAAGTTGATTCAAGGCAAGTCTGGGCTGTGTCGTATAGCCTATCACATGTATATGCACAGACACATGCACCCTCCCAAATAATGACACCACCAACAAATAGTTGTGATGTACTTATCACACAGACTTTCTTGGCCAAACCCTGTAATTGAACATTTGCATGGTTTCTGACTTTTCTTTATTATGAATAACACTTTGAAGGACACCATTTGAGTGAAAGTTCTTGTACACATCCTGTTGTTTCTTTATACCAACTTCTAAAGGTTCAACCACTTCAGCACGTTGACATGGTTGAAGTATGTGTTACACTATTGCGAGCTACACAAGCCTGAGTATGTCCACACTCTTGGATACAGTCCCTTCCCACATGGACTTCAGGTCTGGCTGTGCAGTGTGCTCTGGACAGTGAGTCATTAGCGAGCCCAGCCCTAGACAAGAGTACCTTAGTCTTCCCCCCTGAGAACGCTATCACTATACTCCAGCTTGGCTTGCTGGTGACCTGTGGCATCGTCAGCTGCCAGCCCCAACCAATCATCGAGCATCTCAGACCATCTGGCCCTAGGTGGGTACCATACAAGCACAACACCTGTGTAACCCCAGGGACAGTCTTTGACCTGCTTTCCTGAAAGTAGACCTTAAGGTCTTCCTTTCAGAGGATATCCTGTCTTAAGTCCCCAGGCTAAGAAGAAGCTGGAGGAACAGCCTTGCGACACAGTCCCCTAGCTCAGATCTTCTTATTTTCTGTTCACACGTCCGTGTAACAGTCCACAGTTTCCAAGGACCCGGGTCTTTGGTTCTTCATTTCTGAAGGTTCCTGGGCCACGCTAAGCTTTCTCTTGCTGTAAGGATTTTAGTCGGGCGCCTTGTGATAGGTGAGGAAAAGACATCACCTTTTCTCTCGCAGATCAGCACATTCGATGATGCTGTTAGGGTACCAATTTTGGGAGTGGTGGTTGAAGAGGGAGCCAAGTGATATGAGCAGCGAGAGCAGATGTTCAGGTTCTGACATGGTTGCCACAGAGTCATCTGTAATTCCAGATGGAATGTGATACCAGCGGGGCTTCGCAAGGTGATGTCTGCCACAGGGGGGCTTGGTAGGCCTTCTTCCTCTCCTTCAGGTCATTTAATATGCACTTTAAAGATACAGACTTCTTAATTCCTTGGGTCAGAAATTCCCAGTTTCTTCTGCAGCAAGCAGCTGGTTATATCCCAAAAGGCAGGAGTTGGCTAATATCCTTGGGATTTGAAATTGTTGCCATGAGCTAACCAGGTATATTCTGCTTTTTGACGCCCCCATACCCCCACAGTTAGAAATCTCCCGACTTAGGTTTATTTTTTCATAATTACTTCCTCAGTTTTATTGCTTTTGCCTT